GCCACCTCCAGGGCCTCGGCCACGCCTCGCGCCGCCACCTCCAGGGCCTCTGCCAGGACCGCTGGAGACGGCTGTCGATACCGGCGGCCTTGTCCAGACAGTCTGATGGAGTGAGTCGCTTTAAAGGAGACAGATGAAGAAAAGTGACACGGGCTTTAGCTCCTCGCTAATAACTTTGTCCCGGTCGTGTCCCTTAATTAAAGGGTGTTTTTGGGGTTAACCGCCGGCTGAGGCAGTCCCCCACCCTCTTTTCGTAGGCCTTCGGCGCAACCGTCGTCTTATTATCTTCTTGCTTCTGACAAATCGTGGGGCTGGGCCTTGGCCTGCGCGCTGCTCTCCAGAGCAGCTCCAGAGCCCGGAGGCGGAGCTCCCCATTGGCGTCCTGGGGCGGGGCGGGGCGGGGCGGGGCTGAGCGGGTCGCTCTCTTTTAATGATGTTCCTTCCCGGCTCTGCAGACTTAATCTGCTTGGCCGCAGTGGCCCGCCTGCTCCTGCTGGTCCTCGCGGGTCCCGAGAGGGTCCCGAGGGGCTGGCGGGGCCGGGCGGGCCGAGGGTCCACTGGGCAGTCACCAGAACAAGTGAGGCTAATACGTCCCGGCCCCGGCCGGCTACGCCTTGCCACGCCACGCCTCTGCCGCCCCGGGCGCGCAGCCTCGCCACTCCCACTCACTCGCTATACAGAACGCAGAATTCAGATCTGAGAGGCGGGGTGAGCGGGGGGGGGGGGCTAGGCGCGCCTGCCTGCTTCATTAAAGTTTCAGCGCTTTGCGTTTTTTGTTTGTTGTCTCGTTGTTTGCTCTGGATTGGCCATGTGTACCAGTGTACCATGGCGTCGTTAATTCTGAGTGCACAATGTTATTACTGTTTTCCTTTTTTCGTTGCAGACTTTCAGAAGCTGGAGAGGGAAGCTCGCATCTGCCGGAAATTGCAACATCCCAATATAGGTGAGTTACCACGATCTGCATGTGTTTTTCACTTTTTCAACCCCCTTTTCCTTTTATACTCGGACTCCATCCAATGCAGGCGTTCTCCCGACCTGGAGGGTTTGAGTTTGGGAGGGGGAGGAGCGGAAATGTGTTCCGAAGTGACCGGAAATTTGGCTGCTGGCTCCGACTGGCACCGACTGACTGTTACGGGTTACGGGATGGCTGGTTGGTGGATACGCCAGCCAGCCGGGCCACTAAAGGGGGCCCAGGCCGGGCCGAGCTGTGCGCTCGTGTGACTGGCTCGAAGTGTGACGCTGTGACGGTCCAGAGAAAGCTTACCACGGACCGTATCTGGAGGCGGGTGGTGGGGCAGTAGCGGGCAGTAGCTGTGGATGCCACTCGGGTGCCACTCTAGGTTTGTGGAGTCTCCGGGATCGCCAGAGCGATTTAGTTTATTTAATTTCCGGCCTCGCCGGGCCGGGCTGGGTTGGGCCGGCACAGCCAGCCCCGCGGGAGCCACCCCGGGGCAGTTACACGCGCGGACATGACTGGCAACAGTGATTGAAACGGATTGCGTCCCCCCCCCC